TTAAATTGTCTGGACCGAGAGTTATTTTTTTTGAGCAGCCAAGCCCTCGAGGGCTTAGATGAGGCTAAATTGAATTTTGCTTTAACTGACTTTACAAAAATCATTTGGCTAATTTATCATTTGCTGCTGTTGCTGCTGCTGCGAAGTCTGAACCTGCTGCTGCTGCTGCTGCGGCGTCTGTTGCTGCTGGGTGATCACAATGTGATGTTGCTGCTGTTGCTGTTGTTGCTGCTGTTGTTGCTGCTGCTGTTGCAACTGTTGCTGCGCGGTGGCTAGTTGGTTGGCGTGCTGCAGGGCCGCCGTGGTGGCCTCCGTGACCACGGGCTGCAGCATGCTGGTTCCATTTTCCCGCCGCACATGGCTGTTCAGCTCCGCCTTGACCCGCCGCGCGATGTGGGAGCGGGTGTGCTTTCGCAGGTGATCCTTGCGGTAGAAGCCCTTGCCGCACTCGCCGCACTGGTGGCGCTTCTCGCCCGAGTGGATCACGAAGTGCAGGCTCAGCTGCTCCTTCCGCTTGAAGGCCTTCAGGCAGACGGTGCAGATGTAGGGTCTCTCCGGATTGTGCGACTGTTTGTGGCGGGTGAGGTGGTCCTTTCGCTTCAGCGACGCCTGGCAGATGTCGCACACATACCGCTTCTCCAGATTGTGGCCCACCAGGTGCACCTCCAGCAGTTCCGGTTCCGGATAGGCCACATGGCACTCGGGGCACATGTACAGCGGACTGCCGTCGAGCGCCGTCCCCAGGCGAATCTCTCCGGGTCGCAGCTTCGGTTTCCGGTCCTTGCTCCGCTTTTTGCGCTTCTTCTTCTTGCCGGAAGTGCCGCCGGATCCGCCTGTCGTCGTCGCTGCCGCCGCTGCCGTCGTCGCCGTCGCCGTCACCGCCGCCGCCTGCGTCTGCACCTGCAGCGTCGTCTGCTGCTGCGGCTGCAGCGTCAGCTGCTCCTGCTGAGGTATACTAATGGTTGTCGTGCCCAGGGTGTTGATCCCGATGGCTGGTCCCGTCTGCACCTGCAGTACCTGGAAGCAAATTTTTATTTTAGATAAATGATAGGTCATGATAAGTCGCTTGATTTACACTGTGACATTTCTAAGTAACTACATATTTTCCCTAATTCCCTAAATGTATATGATATTTACGAGAGCAAAATGAATTATGTATTTCTATTTTTGTTCATAAATAAATCGAATGAAACTTGGTTTTTGTGAGTGTGGTATTGAATGTTTAATTTATTCCTGCTGTTATTGCGTTTTACCAACAAAAGTTGATGTTTAGGCTCTAGCAATAGAGCAGTATTAGAGTAAGTCTAATCTTTATCGAACGAAATAGGAACCAGATATTGATAATAAAATTAAGTGCAAAAATATCTTGATTAAGGAGACCATCTTGACCGGTAAAGAAAACTGGATCTTTGGAGTAAATTGTTTTTTTTCTTTTTTAAGCTAATCCAATTAATACCATTAGCCTTTCAGAGCTAAGACCTCAACATTCTCAGATTGTATATTCTGAATTTTAATCCTCTATTCTGTGCTGATTTTGGTTACGAGGTAATGTTTTCACGTACCACATTCTGCTGGTTCTCCTTCTTGATGGTCTCCGCGGAATACTTTAGGAAGTGGTGCAGCGACAGGGGCAACGTGTTGGCTGGAAGATGCGAGAGGTAGTCGGCGACGGTGGTTCCCGGCGTCAGCGTTTGCCACGAGGTATTCTGGAGTACTGCAAACGAAATGGTTTATTAAATAAAATTATAATAAATTACTATAGTTTCCTAAGTGTTAAGTACGATTAGAATTTTTTAATTAGATGATTTCTACTACTTTTAAGTCAAAATATTTTTAAATTTATTATGTATGGTGTTGTTAAAACAACAAGAATTTATTATAATAACATAAATAAGATTTCCAGTTAACTGATTTTCACATCCTTAGATAATAATTTTCCCTGCTTCCCTGCCTTTTCCCTGACATCCTTTTAAAAAGTCCCCTACTTATTGACATCTCACCTTGTTGCTGGAGGATGGCGTTGCACAGATCCTGGGTGAGTTCCTGTGGGGCGGTGACCTGTTGCTGCTGCATCTGCTGCTGCTGCTGGCCGGAAGTGCCTGCCTGCAGGGCATCCGCTGCGGCACTCGTTGCCGTTGCACTTGCATAAGCAACAGTTGCATACTGCGTCTGCTGCTGCTGCTGTTGTTGCTGCTGCTGTTGCTGCTGGGAGGAGGCCACCAAGTGGCCATTGTACTTGTCACCCTGGATGCCATCCTCCTGGCCGCCTCGGAACTTGTTGTTGCCACTGGTTCCCTGGCCGGCTGTCATGCTGGCCTGGCCGAAGTGCGCTACCTGTTGCTGCTGCTGCTGGTAGCGATTGCTGCTGCCGGCGGCATCCTGCTGCTGCTGTTGCTGCTGGGGATTGTTGGTGGCGGTCACCGTCACGTCCGTCACCGCCGCCGTCACCGTGGAGACCAGAGGCGCCGTGCTCGTCGTGAACTGCGGCAGGCCGGGAATATTGCCGGGGAAGGTGTTGCCGAACGGGGTGAAGTTCATTGTGCGTCCGTTTCTCGGCTAGGGGATCCTGGGAGATTTTGAGGGATCTTGTGCGTTAAGATTTAGCCTACTGAAAAGATAGTAAAACTAAGGTTAACAAGAGAAAATAGTACAGGTATTAATGGGATTTACTAGAAACTAAGTATATTCCACTAGTTTTAAACGAATTTAGATCTAATTATAATACGTATACGTATTTTAGAGATCTTTGTAGTGATTATAATAAATTATACCACCAATTTAAATATTTTATGTTGAGCCTCAAAAAAATAAAGGTTTGTTAAAAGTTTAGAAACAGCGAAAGGAATGTTTATAATGGTTGATATACCGCTTTTCTAAGAATATACCTATAATTACGTTGTATATAGGAGAATTATAAGTAAGATTCTTAGAAACCAACCCATGTAAGACGGCACGACATAAAAAACCAGTTTACGAAAGATCATTTTTGTAAAAATCTCGCATTATGAAATGTTATATTAAAATATTAATATTGATTTTCTTTCAAATATATTGGATATAATAATATTATCTGTCTTGAAATATTTTTAAAGACTAAATGATAGACAAACAACAAAGATCGAAGAGCAAGAAAAAACGTTTCCTTCTTCCTAAGGAACGTAGTAGATACAATCCCTATTAGTATCGAACCCTGTCTAGTCGCGTATTTTTAACCCGAAACAGATAGATCCGCGGATTTCCCGAAAATAGACCAACCAACGGTGGTTAAAACCTGCAGCACAATTTAAGCTTAGAAGGCTTTCGAATGGAAAGTGAAAACGCCGCTGCAGTTGTTGTTATTTTAGCTGACTTGCCGAATCGCAGGACCCCCACACACACGCACACACAGACAATTGTCTAAACAACCACCCACCGCCCACTTTGCATTTGTAGAGGTGACGATAAAAAAGAGCGCGAATCCTGCGCGCTGTGCGAGAAAGCGCGAGAGCGAGAGAGAAAGAGAAAGAAAGAGGGAGGCAGGGAGGTGGGAGCAATAAAAATCGAGGGGGGAGGACTTTTTAGTGGGGGTTTCGGCGATGACGACCCACTCTATAAGGCGATTCAGTGTGTCGGAACACTAAGATTAGGTTAGGGCTGACCCAAACCGCCAGTGCGTGGATTTTTCGATTCACAAATGTATCTTAAGATACAAGTAGGGAAAAATGCACAAGAAAATATAACGCATACGCCGCATTGGACATTCTAAACTGACTCGCAAGTGCCAAAAGTCAAAGGCTGCGCCATATCGATTTTCACTAAGCACGCAAATTAGTGTCGCTTCTAATTGAGCACACATATTTCAACGTTCGTCGCGATATTATTAGAGTGTGGTGTTTTCAACTTCGCCGGTAGATAAACAGACTTTCACTTGGGAAAACGCCGTGGTCGTTTATTTTTTGCCATCTGCGCGCGAACCCGTGACACAATAAAACGCAAGGCGGGCCCACAAAGGAAAAGTGCAGCCAATTGCATTGCCAGGCCATTCTGGAGGTCACCTCCTCCGCGGCGAAAAATACGGCCAAAAAAAAAAAGAAAAGTATGTATTGTGTGGGTTTCCGGTTGGGGCCGACCGGGGGGCTTTCGGGGGGCTTCGGGGGTTTCTCGGGGGCCTTCGTACCGTTCAATGTCTGAGGTGCACATGCACATGCACACGCGAAAAACACCCGCCGCATCCACGTTTGGAGCCACCTGGCGGCGTGTGGCGTAGCTTCACTACTGACTACCAGCCCGTCGATATAGTATTCCGACTTTTCTCTCCGCCACGAGACACAAAGCCTCGGCTCTCGGCTTTTTAGCAGCCGGCATGGCCCCATAGACCCCCCTGGTACACCCAATTCGCATTAGTTGGTCTAACTACACTCGTGTTCGGGAGAGAACGAAGCGAGAATAAACAGCGAGAGCCAACGGTTGACGCTCTCCCAAAGTGGCTGGAAAAAATACACTTATTTGCCATTTTGAAAAGAGATGGGCAAAACTTCATATCTGGATTTGGACAGATATAGATATAAAATGTAATCAACTTGATAAGAACGGATCCGATTCTATAACAAATTTTCGCTTTATGCGAATCCTTTCAAATATGAATTTTAATCAAATGATATAATATTATGATGATACAACATTACATATGGGTCTTAAAAAAAAGCTTTAATACCTAACATTAAATTAACATATATTAACATATAATATATGCTTATATTTAGAAAATCATTTTAAATAATCTATAATTTTTTAGATATTGAACCAGGTTCAAATAATACTTTAACACTTTTTCAATATTTTAAAACCTTAATTAAAATAAATATGACTGAATATAGTTTTGGGAAATACAACCTTAATGATTTTATTATTATAATATAAAGGCTTTTTTAATCATAACTTGTTAAACAAAAATAAACAGGTATAATCAATCTAAAGCTATTTTTACTTCTTTAAGGTAATAACTAACACTTTTACCACATTCAAAAGTAGTACTCTCTATAGGGAATTCTGAGCAGGGCGGTTTCCAAAGTAGCTTTTTTCAGATGAATAGAATTGTGTTTTGGCACACAGACTCCGCGAAGACGCCGATATCCTTTGCGGCAAACGCACTTGGGATTGAAGCAGTAGTTCTCCGCCGGACAAAAGCCGCCAGTCGGACATTTAATCATCAGGCAACTGACCGCCTCATTTTCCTCACAATCTACGCCCACAACTTGGTAATGATTATCTAGGAATATCTAAGATGGTTAGGCAGTTCACTTTTTTATTGATATGATGGTAATTAAAAACCTTTGCGTCCAAAAACTGATCCAACTAACAAAATACACAGTGCCAGCAAGCTAATATCCATTGCAACACTAAAGAAATCAAGAGGGCTGACTTTTTTTGTTAGCGAACAGAATCAGCATGGCTAATGGGGTTTACAGTTCTCTAAAAAAAATAGCAGCTTTTGTATACTAAAGAAAGTATTTAAATGTAATTTAATATTTTATATGCTTAATTTAAATACTTGTTCTAAAACAATTACCCTTAAAATATATTGGCAAATATGAAGTTCCATAGTTCCATTGGAACAAAAAAAAATACAATTTTTTACGATGTTGTGAGACAATGAATAGGTAATCCCATGAAAATGGGTACTTCTGTTCCTTAACTTATATGTTTATGTAGGGTGTGTGCTATTAATATTATTATATAACGTCACCATTGATTCTCGAGAAGAAGTGTTAAAAAATATTAAAGCACTTCAACTTGAACGCACTTACAACCCAGTTTTGAACTCTGGTTACTTGGCCATCCAGCGCATCAAGGGCGCACAATTGCCCACTTCACGGTCCTCCAGACACAAAGGACCTGCTCCCGCACACAGGACGTAGTACGTAGTATGTGTCCCATTCCGAGGACTGCACTTCGGGTGTGTGCGTGATTTGCATATATGCAGGCCAAGTCGAGCAGCAGCGCCGGCAACAACAATTGCAACCAAAACAAAGATGCTGCGCTCCTGACACTGAAACCCGCACAAGGCCAATCGACGAAATCAGGCCACGCACACGAATTCCGGCACGGTGGCGGTGGCGATGACGATGGCGATGACGTAGCGATGCGATGCTATGCGATGCTATGCGATGCGATGCGATGCTCCCGGCAAACGGCCTATGTGCCACAGAAGGCCGGCTTCCCCAGAACCCCAGAACCACAGACAACCACTCCCAGCCATCTCCCATCTCCAGGAGCAGAGGTAACTGCACTCAATCCTACACGGAGCCGAAAACTAAGTAGGTCTTCGGTTCATACAATTTTTTTTGAGCTAATACGGTAATCTTTAGGATTTCAATCAAACATTTCGATTATGAATGTAAAAACTATATTTAATTATTTTTTTTTATTTATGGAACCAAACCATATTTTCAGTCCTTAAAAATTCTTTAATTATAGTAAAAGATTACTCGAACAAGTGATTTTTAGAAATTTAAACCAGGAAGATATAAAATGCATAGTACTTAGGTAGTGTTATACCACCCTCAGAATTGTCTTCCTGGGCTGTTGAATTTTTTAGATTATAAAGGATTTTATTCAAATTTTAAAGAACTATATACCTTGTTATTTACATTACATTGAAGAAGAGTTATATTTTCATAAGCACTATGTTTGAGCTGAAAAGATTTTTAATTTTCAAAACCTGACATCACTTCGTATTCTACTGCTACAAGACAGACAAGTTTAGAGTAACCTTTTAAATATGTAAAAAAAAAATATATAAAGGTGCTTTTCTAAAATAAAAATGAAGTTATAGGAGGAAGTTATAGGATAGTAAAAATATTTTTTCGTAGTGCACTCGGCTGTGCTGCACTCGGCGGCGAGTAAGCCCCGAGAACTCACACATTTCTGAATCGGAGAGTGAGAGTGTCGGCGGAAAGAGGCGGCTGGGAGATGGGATATGGGAAGTGCTGGGGATGGTTATGGGGATGGGGATGGGATATGGTTTATGGGGCGGTGTTCGGCAAGTGCAACTCTCCGATGCGCATGTAGGGGTGGGGGTGTGAGTCAGAGAGTGGGTCTGCTGGGGTGATGGTGCGTGGGCACTTCTGGCTTTCAGGCACTGCCATTGCATCACCATCGTCATCGTCGTCGTGGTCGTGGTCGTTATGGCGGCGTGGTATCGGCAGAAACGAGCATCCAGCAAGTCGGCGCATCCTGCGTTACTCTGCCGGTCAAACCGTCAACAATCTCATTCTCGTTTCCGTTCCGCCGCCCAATTCCATAACAACCAATTCCCCTTCTTCAACCGGCAATCGCAGAATGTGTTACAAGTGGCAGACAACAGTAGGGAACTCTGAATGCCATTTTAAGTTAATAAATTAATGAAGAGAAAAAAATGGTCAGCCCTAAAAGTATTGTAGTATATTGTGGTTTATTTTTATGGTTTAGAAGATATACTTATTCTCTGAAATAATATATTAACATAAAAAAACGTTGCCTACTTTTTGAGTGCTGCCAGTTACCAGCGCTGCGTATACTTAATAATATTACTAATACGATAAATCCAAGGGGCTTGCTTAAAATTGTTAAAAATAGTTATAAATTTGTGTAATGAAGTTAAGTTTTATAGAAAATTAAAAAAGTATCATTAAGAAATAAAAGATTGTTTGAAGATATTAACGAATATCTTGATTTTTTGGAAATTTATCAGGTTATCTTTATAAACGTAACTCATAAATTCACAACAATTATGTTTAATACTTTTAGAAAACCTAATTTCGTTGTTTCCTGTTTTTATGAACTTATGAGCTTTACGAATTTTTGAAAAATTGCTGATAGTTTTGCAACACAGATTAAATTATGATATAATATTGGCAAAGATATCAGATGTGTTAGATAAGTTATAATTTAATAAAACGTGATATATTGCCTATGATCCAATGTTTCTCCCCATTTCATGAAATGAATAACAGAAAAGGGAACGATTAATTTTTTATTTTCCTTTCCGACTTAATTGCTTAAGGCCCAGTACAATTTATATTCTTCCCACTGTGCGACATTGTCATCGGCAGTTCGGGTGGCCCCAGCCGTGTCCATATCCGCGTTCGCATTCGCATCCGTATCCGTGTCCGTGTCCGTTGCCATGCACCCGCCGAATTGGAAAAGACGAACTGTGAGGCTGAGTGCAAGTCGCACCCGCAACGCCCATAACTCCCGTGAAAGTGAAACTGCGGGGCACGGCAGAGCCGGAGTTTGCAGCCGGAGCCGGAGTTGTTGTATCCGCAGCCGGAGTCGCCGAAATGCCATATTCGTGGCCGTGGCCGTGGCCGTGGCCATGACCCGTGCATTCTGTATTTCGTATTCCGTATTTTGTATTTTGTATTTCGGGACCGACACACAGCGCACGTACGAAAGTTTCGGGGAAATTCGGAAACGCGGTCACATGATGTCGATGACGTTATGTCGGCTGAGTCCGCATTTCGATGCAGGCCCATTAAATGCTGATTTATTACCCGATTGGGCGCGAATTAAGTGGCCGGCATTTGGATGACAGTGCGTTGATTTAAGCAGTTTCTCAGAAATTTAGTCATGGAAATTAGACATATGAGAATATAAGGAACGCGATTAGTTTACCACATACTATCTGATCCCCATATGTTCTTGTATCAATCAGTATTAAATCAAAAACCCGTTCCTTAAAAAATATTTAAATGGTTTATCCATCAAAATGGATTTCACAAATTTTATTATCATTTCTTGATAATAATAAAATGCAAGAAGAAAATTCATCTAGAGTTATTCATTTTACATTTAAAAGAAAACTTAAGTAACAAGTCCAATAGTTTGATTAATGGGTGCTTTAAGATGTATTTTAAGCTTTTGAACTCGTCCGAATAAGGAACCGTAAATTAGTGTTATTTGTGATTTCTTTTTTAAAATGCCAACTGGGAATTTCTTATTTTTTAGTCAACTAGGCTGATTTTTGCACACTTTCTAGTCGGGCGTAAATATAGTTTAATTTGTTGTCCAAACAAGAGTAAGAGTAACAAGAGTAAAATGAGCGTTAGTTTTAACATTTATAAAGTAGTAAGCTTTTTAAAATAAATATCGCGTTTAAAGGTGCTAGTGTTGAATAAGACGTTACGATATTGAATGTTCTTCTAACAATTTTAGGGGCCTAGTGATATTTATATCTTTGCAGAGGGTATAACGCTTTTAGTCAGAAGTTTGCAACGCAGGGAAGGAAACGTTCCGACCCCATAAAGTATATATATTCTTGATCTTGATTTCTTCGCAAACTACTCTCTTAGTTTTAAAGCTATCGGGATGAAACTTTCCCAAAAGTCTTATTTCTATTGCAGGTAGTATACAAGTCGGAACAAAGTGGATCGGACAACTATATCCAATAGCTCCCATAGGAATGATCAATGATTTTGACATATTAACTTTTACACTTGGGAATATCAGTCTTTTAATATTTCAGAATTTCAATAAATAATAAATTAATAAATCAATAATAATAAATAATAAATTTAAATCAAATCGGACGACTTCATCATATAGCTATCATAGGAACGATCGGATAATTAATTTCAAAATAATACATGACCTTTATATTTATTTAGTAAATTGAACATTATCATAAAAATTTTATAATTAGTTTTTAGTTTTCTTGAAATTGGAAAGCTCTGTACATACAATGCTCCCACGGGAACGACCTGCTGGGTATAGAATCTACGGCGTGCCGAAATAATCTTGTTTTGTTTATTTAATTCACCAATTTGGCTGATTTTTACAAAATTTGTATACAGTAGTAAAATAATTTGTATAAAAAAATGTATATTTGATGATTAAATAAAAGCACAGACGACTTTTTAAGGTATAAGTCTGAAATAACTCATATTTACGGCCCCTAATAAAACGTAATTTTGAAGGAGATAATAACATTCAACAGAATCAAAACAGTAGAAACATATTCCTTGTAACTATATTTTTTATGATAAAACATGAATGAATGTTTTATCGAGAACGTTTTTATTACAAATAATATAACATTTTGTATATTGTTGATTGTATTGTTCAATGGCGTCGAGAATGTGTCGCAAATCTTTTAGTAAACTCAACTGTGGATCTTAAAACAAATATAACATACTTTTGTGCGCCCCACAACAGTGCTAATTGCTCGATTAACTTCCCATGAGTGATTTGCATGTACCCAAAAGTGCCATATACTCACAGGATTTCAATTGCTCAGCGCTTTATTCACATTTGCCGGCTCTTGGGGAAAGGCACGATAAAACCATGCTGAATACAGGTTGCAAAACACTTGGCAGACACACGTTTTCACGCGAATTGTTGACGTTGAGCGAATTGGTCGCGTGAAAGTAAAAACGCGACGAAAATCGCAGCGCGGCAATACGAATACAAGTGCAAAATTTGTGTTTCTGGGGGCGTAACGCCGGATTCGATTCGATTCGATTCGATTCGATACGATTCGATTCGACCGGATGACGTAGTGTCGGCGCTGACGTTATAAAGTTAACTGATTGAAAGTGCGTTCGTCCGGCGCCTAAAATTGTGTAGAGTTTGGTGACGAAGAGCCGATACTCGGCACCAATACAGAGGCCGAAAGTGGCAAGCGGCACCAATACAGTGGCACATTCTGAGGACTAGCAGTTTGGCCAAATGTTTGCCGGCGGCAGACAATTATTTACTCTTTAAATTGCCGACAAAGCGGCACACACGCACACACACACAGACACCGGTGCGAGTGTACGTGCACACCCACACAAGCAAAAAACACCTCCCTCTCTCGAACACACACGAGCACCTACATATGCCGGCTCCTCGCTTTCGCTTTTGTGTTTGTTCTCTCGCCGGCTTAGTGCCGAATGCTCTCTTCGTTTCGCCCCCTCAATGTCCTTACATCTAGTGCCGAAGTCCCCCTGCCCTGGCGTTCGTAACTACTCTTCGAACTTCGTAGAACTTCGATACGCTTCGGCTTGCTCTCTCCCACACTAGGATGCTGTGGTGCTCTCGCATTCGACTCTCTGCCGCTCTATGCTCTCACTGCAGTTTTCAATGTCCCGTTAGTTAATTTGAGCGCGCGCCGTCAGGTATGCAACAGTTTTTTTCAAACGCATTTTTAATAGGCATTTTTGCCTGCATCAGATCTAACAAAACCTATTAAAGTGCTGCTGTATATAAGAACTTACATAAGTGGTCTTATGTACTCGTGTGATTTATATGGCTGTGCATAAAA